GTGGTCGATTGCTCCAAGGGATGCATTTCCATAGAGTATGTGGGTGCATCACCCTGGGTTGAGTGGTCTGCGTGTACATCTTGTTTACTATTGAGTTGGGAACCAGCCCTTGGGAGTGAGTTTTATTCCAGATCCAGAATGTATCCCAGGGCCATAGTATTGGAGGTCTCACCAGATTCCACCCAACCAGTAATTCTGGTCATTATTGAGTTTTTGGATTTTGTTCCATGTTTTTCCTTCCACTCTATCCAGGATCTCCAGATTTGATCCCTTCCTGAGTGGTTGGCATTGGTAGTCAGACACCATCTAGTTCTTCTGGTCTCGAAGGCCATCGTACCCTAGAGCTGATTGCTTCTAAATGCCCTTGTTGTTTTGCATTCTTCTTTGCTTCCGACGATAGGAGACTATTAGCTGCATCTTAGATAGCCACTTGAAAGCTTTTAAGACTCCAGTCACTACTTACCAATGTAGGATGAAGAACAAGACTTTTATGTATTTTGTTGTGCCAATTGAGTCTGGTGTTCCCCAGTACGATGGTCCTGAGTCGGTAGATCCATTGGATCTCTCTCCCACAGTGTCTGCATGTCTGTGAGGGATTACTCTATGTCTGTCTTCTGTTGTTTCTGCAAGGATTGCGGGTATTTTGTATCATTGCTATCTGTGCAAGATTAGCCTCTGCTGAATCTATCCTTGGTCTAGAGTATACTCCTGTTCCCTGATCCCCATCTAATCTTCTCAGATGTTTATGTATTTATCTGTAGCCTGGTGTTAATGGTAATTCAGTATTGTGGATATACTGGTTGGTATTAGCATCTGTCATCTATATCTTATGTGCACAGTTCAGTGTCCTCCCTTTCCTAATGTTATCATGGTGATCACAGACTCTTCCTATACCATCCCTCCCCTTACCCACGTCAGTATGTGGCCCCCAACTAGCCTGAAATTAATCCCTCCTCTTCCCTTCCCACCTTGGTAATCTACAAAGTGAGTTCCCTTTCTCAAGCAAACCCTTCTTTGTCTTATTACAGAAATGGGCTCATACAATATTTGTCCTTCTGTGATTGACTTATTTCGCTCAGCATAATGTCCTCCAGGCTCATCCATGTTGTGAGATGATTCAC